AACCTCATTGCCTGCCAACGAGGGTTCCCGGCAGCAAAACCAAATGAACTGGAAACACAATTTCTCAGCGCCTGATTTGTCGCCTTGTTGTTTCCCCCACACACGATAATAATGATAATGCCCATAATATTATGAATATCAGAGAAGGGGGGTATGGAAAGCGAAATATGATACGATACTTTAAGCTGCAAAACATTGTCTTTTATGCGGTTACATAACCCCAACGATGACAAAGCCAGTTGAAAGTTGGCATCGCCATTGATCCATGTTGACAATTTTTTGGCGGGTCGCGAAAAATAAATAAATATGCCAAGTTATTCGCATACTTTTACACTCGACTGCTCATCGCATCGTGTGTGGCCCAGGGAGTCCCAGGAGGAGCTGGGTTGGAAGGGGGAAAAGATTGTGTTTTGGTTCGCCCGATTCCGTGGCTCAAACAGTTTATTTTTATTGCCGGGCGACGCGACTCCCCGGCATATCGATGCCGTCTGACAAAGGCAAATGCCACCATTTGTCATTTGGACAACGAGCTGACAACAGTTCAGTGCCACTTGTCACAGCTGCCAGGAGAGAGCCAGAGCAGCAGAAATCCCAGTTGCAGGCACTTCAAAATATTTACTTTTGGTTTAGATTATTCGAATAAACAAATAAGCAAAGGTTAAGTGATTTAGGGAGGCTTGAATAAATTATTTTTGGGTGATTTTAGTACATTTATCCATATCATAGAAGTCTTAAACCCATTAAAAATCTTTTAAAAAATATTTAAAATAATTATATTTCCCATTTAAACTTTACTACTAATAAGAGCAATTTATTTACCAATACAAAATCAATTTCTTAATAAATTTCCTTAAACAAAAATTCCTTTACCCTTTTTGTTATTAAATCCACACTCTCTGTCTTTGAAAATTGAAAAAACCCCCCAATTATATTTTTCTTTTTTTGCGTAATGGGCTCAAAGTGCTTTTAATTAAGCATCGATATGTGCTTAAATATGAAAAGCCTTTACATATTTAATTAAAAGGAAATTGTATCCTGTTGCCCATCTACAAAGGGACTTTGTCCTCGTTTTTTAATTGCGCATTTCATGCATTTTAATGCGACTGCCCACATAAAAGACAGACAGAGCCCCCAAAACCCAAAGAGGAAAACGTAATGAGCTCAAAACCAAAAAAAAGGAAAATTACACAAACCAAAAATACATAAATATATATAAATGAAAACAAATTAAAAGCAAGGCAAACACATAAATTTTATATGGCTTTCAACTGAAGAGCAGCACATTGATATGGAAATAAACTCGGGGCCGCTAATCAAATGTAAGCACATTTAATGTTTAAATAAACAGAAATGAGTTGATCCAGCGCAAATACTAGGAGAGATGTAATGAAAAGAGCTAGGAGCCGAGAGCTGAAAGCCCCAAAAGACCAAAAGCTGGCTTAGGCCCGAGGTCTGCCTCGATTTTTCCTTTTGATTAAGTCTCGCATAAATATTTATGTGCAGCAGCAGCAGCAAATATGCGCATTCATGACAGACAAAGTGGTATTTAATTGAGGAGTAAAATATATGAAGCACGTGGCGGTAAACGAAATAAGAATTTCAGAGATTCAAAGCCCAGGAAGGCAGAGAATATTGAGGATGAGAGAGAAGGTCTTAGCCAGAATTATGTTCTGAGTTTATTTTATTTAATTTTCTTGAGCAGGAAATACACAAAGCAGATATTCTAAATTAAATAACTGCAGGAGATTTAATTACAAAAATAACTAGAATGAATAATTAAAACAATTAACACCATAGAAAATCTCATTAATAATTGCTCACTTCTGTAAACAAAGTAAAGATTTTCCCCCTTCAAAAATTCATTTTTAGCTTAACTTGCATTTCTTCTAATTAATAACGCTCTGCTTTTATTTATTTTTTATTTCCCACTGCTTATAAACTTATGCTCATTTCAATCCCCAAAATAAACCCCTTTATCCAATGATCATAAAAACGCCAACATAAACTTCAATATGAAAGCAAACACATGCGTTATGCGATGCTTCTGTGCGCGGAGATATGCCACTTGAAACAAACAGAAAAAGAAAACATAAATTTCGTTATTGAGTTAGCAGAGCCACTCACACCGCCACACAGAGAACTGAAACAAAACAAAAATACGAACCACGAGAGCCACTTTCAGACTCGGCAAACAAAACAAAGTCACTGAAAGAAGACTGAGAATTTGTGTGTGTTTTTGTGGGGATATTTTGAGCCTTCGTTTTTCGTTTTCGTTTTATTCCTTTTGAAGTGGCACGAAAAAGTTCGGGTTTATGTCTGCCACTGTGGGGCATATAATTCCCTTTAAAGACTTTAACGCTTTTTTAATAATTTTTTATTGTCAAGAAATTCACTTAGGCATTATTCGCGTCTTGAGAAGTTTTAAGTGCCGACATTGCGGGACTTCTTCCCCGAAAGTTTATGTGCGTCTTAGTTTAATTTCTTATTTTGTTTTTCGTTTTATAAACAGTATACAGTTTGAATGTGGGTTTGAATTACTGACTATTATGGCATCGGAATGAGTGGCAACATAATTCCATTAAAGCCAGATGCAACGGAATATTGACTTTTTTAGCCAATCAATAAACATTAACTTCAAGGGCACTTTAGTGCTTTTTCAAGTTAATCCCATTGTTCGTCTATATTGAAGGGCAAAATATATACAATATATTTTTTTAAGCCGCATTTATGCGTTGGCTTTCATTTAATTTGCATTCATACCCGGCCATTTGCATAGGTCAGCGCTGAATGTAAAAAATAAATGCGAAAAAGTTTACCCTTTTGTGTGCGCTCTGTAAAATCAACAAGCTGTGGGGAGGAAATGAACTGAAGCTGGGCTGGGAATTGAATTGTCACAGCTGCAATTTTTCAAATGTCAAATCAAAACAGAAAACCAATTACTTTCGATGATTAATTACCGCACTCGAAGGCGATGTGCCTGCCTAGGCGAACAAATGTTGAGGACCGCAGAATGATTTTGATTGCGACCCGGTTGGGTTTGATTTATGATGCGATCAACCCTTTGCTGACAAGTCCCCGATGTGACGTGCCACTCGGCCTCATCTCTCATGCCGCAGGATACTTTCGTTAACTTGCCCTCCTGCTCGACATGGAAATCACCTTAAAATTCATAAGTTTGCGGGCGTCGAAGTAGGCGGAAACCGCAAGTAAAACAGCAGCTGCATGTCATTAACTATATGGGTGGCGGCGGCGGCGGTGGCTTCGGTGTAATCCTCTCCACTTGGGGCACAACACGGCGTATGCGTAACGCCACCGCCATCATGGCGGATACGCAACGCGACCAACTTTTCAACGCTTCATTTTTTAAACATTTAGCAGTGCGGCGTAACACCTCTTTAGCCCAACTCGGTTTTACTTTTCTCACCCCCAATATTATTATTTTTTGTTTTTTCTATTTTCGTTGTCGTCAAAGCTGCGGATTATGCGCACAGAAAATGAGAGTTTATGTATGAAATTATGCAAAACAGACCGGCAGACGATAATGACGGTGGTTAGGAATCCTGCGGCTGATGAGTCCTTAACCCGCCAAGGTCCCTCGCTCGCTTTGTTCCATTATAAATGCAGTTTTTTTTCTGTGGGCGATTATGATGATGATTACGAGTGAAATTTTTTATGCCTGCATGGAAATTTCATATTTTAATTACAATTTGCTTCGGCCGACAGTGACCCAAATATATATACAAGTATGTACGAATATTACGAGTATCATGTAGGAAGAAAGGGTTCTTTCAACCCTTTTTTTTTTCTTGCTGCGAATCCTCAGCTGCATGCCTGGCTGCATAATTATGTTGCCAAACTGGTTGGCTGACCGGCAAAAAAAAATAAAGAAAACCCAACAAAAAAACAGCCAAAGTTTAACAAAAAGCCTCGGAACCCCTGAAAGTCTTAACCCCAACTTATTTGAGCATGACGAATGGCTTTGTTGAGGAGTTACCACCACTTGTCCCAAGGATTTTATTAAAAATTCCTTAGACACAGGTGCAGTTTTTTGGGAAAACTTTTCAATATGCTTTCTGGCAAATAATTGGATGGATGGTTTTCTGCCGCGCTTTTAACGCTGATAAAACCTGTTGTCGAAGATTAAATATTAATGGCTCCCATTAATATCATCTTTGGCCGTCCGAAGCCAATAAAATGTGCCTAATGTCGCGATATTTATGGCAAGGACGCTAATTTATGCTCAAAGCGAAACGAATTACAAATCGATACTAGAAACTTGGCTGTGTAATTACGCAATGATTTATCGAGCAGCTCTATTAAGCGCATTTATTGTTGACTTTTCAGGGAAAGTAAAGCCCTGAAAAGTTCTACATTCAGGAAACCACTTTTAATGGAAACCTTTTAAGAGCGGAAGTAGCTGCGATTTGATATAGTCGTCGCCCGTCCGCGGTTAGGGTTTACTTTGCGGTTTTTCTGATTGACAAGACATTGGAGCAGGTGAAAAACAATAGCGGCTCGGAGGTAACCGCTCAGGTGGCGACAAGTTACGTGTGCCGTCGTCTAAAGGGGGAAATAAATATCAATAGAACTTGGATAAATGCATAAATCGATTGATTTTTATGGTTAAGTGTTTCCGAGTAGATTGGGGTTTTAATAAGGAAGTTACCAATAATTGAGATCAAATATATATTGAATACTATATTGAACACTTATTTTAATATTTTATTATTTTTATTTGATTTTATTAAAAGAATAAAACGGGTGTCTTTGGCTAAGAATTCAATTAACCCTCCTTCTCCACCCCTTTTGTAATATGATATAATTAATCCCAATTATTTTAAAATGAGTTTTGAAAGGTAAAAATATATTTTCAAAGCTAAAAAGGACACCCAACCCTCTCTTATTTCGCCAAAAAGCATCCAATTTAAGTTTGAAATTAATTCGGAGAAATGCAATCTAAAAATTGTAAATCAAATTGAAGGATCTTCCATCAAACTTACCCTATGCACGGCGGCATGTAAATCGAAAATTACCAGAAATTGTCACTTTACATCACGCCTGCTGCAGGACCAATAAATCATGCTGCACACACACACACACACACGTTGCTACACGGAAGCACACCACACACGCACTCACTTGCTCTCTGGCCTAGTGTCCTTTGGTGTGTGCGTGAATATTCAAATCAGTGAATAAATGAAATTTGTTACAGGACTCGCGGCACACTCACACACTCCCACTCCTCACGCACTGAAATTGAGTGTCGAAATTTTGAGGGGGGGTCCGTCGTATATTTAGCAAATGAACCGTTAATTTAGTTGCCAGAAGCTGGCCAGTTTTCCCGGATTTTCCTCGCTTTGTCCTGCGTAATTTTCAGGTTGCTCTTTACAGATTCCGCGCAGTAATCAAGGTTTACAACTATGCGATCAGCGAAACAGAATTAAATTAAGTGCCAGATGAATGGCGGCTTCATTACGAGTTCCACACACTTTGGCTGCCAATTAACTCGCCCGAATTTAATTAAGGCTTAGGTCCTGATTTGTGGCGCGCACTAGATCTCAATCTTGACGAGCAGGCAATCCTCCGAATCCGATTTCATTTACGTAAACGAGACTTTCGAGGGACTCTGAGACAGCTCCGAACAGGGCACCGCGCTGCCTGAATATTAAACGAACACTGAAGCCTCCGATTACGTTTCCATAAGGTTTTAACTACGTAAACGAGACTTTCGGAGGGAATACAACTTCGAACCGCGCTGCCTCAACTTGAAACGAACACTGAAGCCGCCAGAATCGAGCGCTGAAAGTTAAGCCCGAAGTCAAGAACGGCTCGAGCTTCAACCTACAATTATTTACTTATTTATAATATATAAAAACATATTTTGAAACATCTTGAAAATATTAAGCAAAAAGTAATAATTTAAAATATTTTCTTATTATTTTACTTTAAAAATTAAAAGTATAGATTTAACGGGAAAACACCTAATTGGTCACAATGGTTGCCACTGGTTCAAGCGACAATCGTCTGTGGAACTTGCAACATGTTGCACAGTGCCTTCAAACCCGAGTTCCACTTCGGCGATTCTATGTTTTTCAGTCCGAACCTCTGATCTTGGCTTTTGAGGCTGTGTTTATTTTGTTTTTATTGAGACCTCAAAAAATGCACTTAATATATATTAAATACATTTTTAAAATATAAAGAACATATAGAGGATATGTATGCAAAATATATAAGAATTAATAAATCAAAAACAGAAGATATATCAAAAAAATAATCGAGTTTAATTAAACATTTTTTGAAATATAATTAATATAATTAATTTCTTTTTCAGTTTAATTTACAAAAATTAAAATATGTATTTATAAATGTGCTCATTTAAATCCATGTTTTAAACACACTGAAATATTAGAATTTTTCTGTATCTGTCTAAAATAAAATTTTACTTTAGTTACAAATTTAAAATGTATAACAAGAACCTTAAACATAACACAAACAAAAACCAACTAAGCTCACTGCACAAAGAGCTCAATCCATATGAAGTTTTAGCCAAGAATAGAGTTCTTTTCAAACCCCCCAGAAGTTTTGTGGTTGTTTAATCTACATCTGACTTGGTAAGAAATATGTTCAGGTGGCTTTCTTAGCTCCTTGTTTAAATTTGGAGAGACCGCCTCACCTGGAAAATGCTTAAAGTAACACCATAAGAAACTGTTGCTCCGTCATAACAATAAAAAAAATATATAAAAAGAAACTTAGCCGAAGTGCAACATCCTCGTGGGGCGACAATGCAGGCGAAAAGTTTCGGCAGGAAAACTAAAACTCAAATATAAGATGGCAAGCAACTTTGGCCATAAAACATGGCACAAAGCCGCACACTCACACGAGAGCCGGAAAACCACCGAAAAAAAAAATGGAAACCTTCGAGAGGTGGGGCCGCGGCAAAGCAATGAAAATTCCGACCTACCGCAATAAATTCCGCGGGAAAAGCAACGCGAGCGATGCCAAAATGAGAGTGAAATGGCCAACACACACACACGCACATACAAGGCAAAGGAAAAGGAAAACACACCCCTCGGAAAACCTCAAGAAGGCACAACGCACACAGGGACACCTCAGGCACGGTGCCATAAATCGCGCTTAGCCAAAACAAAGCATAGCATCAGGCTCCAGGACTCAGGCATCAGGATTCCGATTCGGAATCAGTTTCGGTTTCAGCCGTGGACCGAAATCCTTTGACCTGACACAATGCTCCATATTCTATGTTTTGGTTCGAGTTGGAGTTGGAAGCGCGTCTGCGCGGTGATATCCTTCGACCAGCCAAACAGCTGTTCTAGGCGAAACCCTTACCTAGGACAACACGGGCATCCGTGAGGGAGTTAGTCCTAGACTAGAGTTAACTTCAAGAGTATCCTTTTGAATCCTTTAGAAAATGAAAAACCTTTGCTTTAATATTTTGTTGTATTTTTTACTTTTATCCTTAACAGCTTGGAACAGTCTTTGCTTCGGTTGAGCTTAGTTGTTAATGCTCCGCCAAGGAAAATGACTTCTAACAACAACACATCTCTTCAGCAGTTCTTGAAATGAGCTTGATCTTAAGCTGGAAAATGAGAACAGAAATATTTATTAATTTTAATAAAAATTCAAAAAACTTACCCATGATCTGGAGATCACTTTGCTCAACAAGGAGGACACGAACTGCAGCAACCCTCACATGGATTAGAACAGCCTCCTCCATACAGGGGTACTAAGCATCCAGGTGGGCAGGGTCCAACGTAGAAAGGGTCGAAACTGCAAACCAGCATTAAAACCATGTCGAATATGTGGTATTTAAAATTCTTTAGCTGGGAATGTCCTTCCTTTATAAAAGAGTTTAATTAAAAATTTTTGAAGTCGGGTAAAACACTTTCAAAACTTACTGAACTTTTTTTTTTAACTGCCGAAGAAACGCGTTGAAGTTATTCCTTGGTTATGAATTTAGAATTTAGAAGTTCATATATATATATTTTTTTTTTGAGCAAGAGATGCGTTCAAGTTAAGCTGTTCAGATAGACTGAGCTCTGTTGCTTTCCAAACACATCGAGCTGAGAAGAAAAGTGAAGTTTCGGGGTTCATGGCCTACTTGGGACTAGTATAAGTTTCCAGAATTTAGAAGCTGAAAGCATATTGTAAAATTCCCGGTGTTTTTCTTTCTAGTTAGCCAGGGGATTATTTTAACTCTGATAGATTCGACAGTGGTCACGTTAGAATTGAGTCCTTGGATTGCTTGGCCATATCCTGGCCACTAAACTCTGGCTTTTTAAGGTATGAGACCACAGGTCCCCCTCCAATAATATTTTAAACCACAACAGTCCAAGTTCATATAAAAGTTCATATTAAATAAATATCCAAATTAAATTAACTAATTAGGAAAACAAAAGAAACAAAAAACATATATATCCTCAAGCGGAAAAATTTAAGCCAAAACAACTTGTATTCATGGACATTAGCTGCTTGTCATCTACTGCCAAAATCCCAAGCCCCACCATATTCCTTAACCAATTTTCAAGTAAAACTAAATATAAATATTTTCTTTAAGTTTATTGCTTAAAACACAGTGTTTCGTTAGACGTTGGTTGTTATCGTCAGCCAAGGATAAAGTTTATAACAGCAGCACATTTCTTCAGCAGTTCTTAAAGGAAGCTCGGATCTTAGGCTGCTGGTGAAATTATAAGTATAAATATCAAGGAATATCTTTAAAACCTCACCAAAGATCTGCTTCCATTTGGCTTCTCGTCCTAGCGGCACCTCACCAGCCGCAAGGACACGAGCTGCAGCCACCACAAGGTCCACAGCCACCACAAGGTCCACAGCCACCACAAGGTCCACAGCCACCGCAAGGACTGCAGCAGGGACTGCAGCTGGGGGATCCGCCAGTCAAGGGGACCAGACAGCCGGGCGGGCAGGGACCAATGTAGAAGGGGTTGAAAGTGCAGACCATCATAAGAACCATTTTGATAGTTTATATGTTACAAAATCTCGATAGAATTTTTTCACTGCTGAAGAAACGCGTTACAAGTTATGCCTTGGAAATGAATTTAGAACTTAGTTTTTCATATTCTTTTTTTTTTTATTTTACGAAAGAGATGTGTTCAAGCCAAAGTGTAGGAAAAGAATGAGGCCTGATTCTTTCGAATTACGACTGGCCTACACAAATGTGAAGTTTTTGAGCCACTGCCTACTTGGGACTTCAAACAATTTTGGGATTTTTCGAAGCTAAAAGCCCGTAGCTTCTCCATTACTCCTCTCCCGGTGGAACCGCCTGCACTGGCGCTGAAGCCCCCGCTGCCGGTTCAGGTTCCGCCTTCGTGTCAGCATCCTTTTCTTCTGCGTTGGGCTGCGTTAGACTAGGCAGTCGGGGCAGGAAGGGTCCAACGATGGCGCCAGCTTTCCCGGTGATGCAGCAGACTACCGAACAGGTGGCATTGATGCCATCGCCCTCCACCAGCGACGGCTCCCCCTCGAGCCCTGTCAGCTGGTGCGCCACAGGGCTGCCGCGGATTACCAGGTCGGAGATAGACGGGCCGGTGTATTCTGCCACCCGGCCACTAACACATGACACTGAGTTAGCCACTATCACGATTAGGGCCACCACGCCTGTTACTCCTATGGCCAAGTGCACCTCATCCATTTCGGAAAAGGAGTGGTTGCAGGAGAAGAATATGGAGAAGGACGATCGATATTGCTTTTCTCAATCGACCAGGCTGACAACTGACTCGTAGGCAACTATCTAGGTAACCAGACGGCGATGATTGGGTGTTAAGGTGGTCCTTTAGCCATTTGCAGTTTGTATCGTCGAGGATCAGCACTCTTTTCACGGGTTACTCTTTGGGGTGATCTGGCAGAAAGGATTCGTGTAAAGTGATTTTCAGCTAGCATACTTGCGGCACTCTGTAGTCCTGGGATTTTATGGCCAGGACATGGAGCAGAACAAGGTCCATGGAGACCAGGGTGAACTCTAGCCTGTTACTGCGATTTTCATTAATTCTGGCTTCAAATAATAATAATAATTTTCCATGCAAAGTATTTTATTTTCCTGTGTAAACTAATTACTAACAGTTTTAGAGAAAACCCCCACTAATACCTTACTAAGCAGCGTATCGAAAGCATTTTGGGTGGATTTAAGGCTCTCCCTTTGGATCTTTTGTTCCAAGCTACCCACTTATCCGAATCCTCTTCGCTCCCTCTGCTACTTTTGCTGCTTCTCCTCCTGTTTTTGCTCCTGATTCTGCTGCTCCGGGTTCTTTTTTGGCTCCCGGGCGGGATTGCAGCGGGGAAGCTGCGACTCCGGAACCGTGCACTGACCCTCCCTCCTCGCCGCAGTCATGGTCGCAGCAGGGCGGAGTGGGGCCAATGTAGGCGGGATTAAATATGCAAGGCATGATGCAGCTCCTCCACGGAACAGGGAACACGGAACACAACGCTTCTCGACCGGATTGCGGAGGCAGGTGTCCTGGGCTCTGTTTTATGGATTTTCCCAAATTTACATAGATGCTAAAGGGGGGCAGAGTGGGCAGAAGCAGGTCTAAAAACCAGAAGAGGAAGCAGAGGCCGGCCCGAAAACTTCCTCATTTCCAGGGGGGATTACAACACAATAGAACCGGCTAACTAGATGCTCGATACGGGGGAAAAGCTCAAAGAACTATATGTAAACGGATTGCATATTGGAGGGGAAACTCCTAATTAAACTGTCAGTGAGTACAGTCATGAAAAATATAAGGAAAGGGGAAGATGACTATATTAATTCAGCTAACAATTAAACCAAAGGCACTTAGGAATTATCTAAGAATCATCTAAATATTTTTTTTAAATATTTCTAATTAAGGAAAATCCATCTCAGTGCCTCTAATAATATTTTAGATCCTGCATAATCGAACAACAGACATATTGACCTCTTCGAACACACACAATTCCTCCTGCCTGGCCCTGGCATCTCGCTCGTCCGGTTAGAGAGCGTGCGGAATGCTTATAATTATTTCATAATCGGGCAACACTTCACGTTTATGGTGACAAAAGCCTGCAGATAGACAATAGCCCCCTGCAGGCTATTCCGCCGGGGGCAGTCGCATCGAAATTGGGCCACACAAATGGCCGCAGGCGCAAATACGGAATTTAAGTTGAAATTAATGAATAATTAAGCTGCACTGGGCGCAGACGTTGGCCCAGAGCGGAAATGCGGCATTTGCATAACTAACACAATGAACTACATACGATGACTCTGGCCGTTCATAAATTAGATATGCAAATGCAAATGGAAAACTAACGGCACTGTCTTTGTCAATTAATCAATCAATCAACGCAGCAGAAGGCCAGCCGCGGAAATCACTTGTCCAGCGTCTGGCCGCCGTCCAGGAACTTTACTCGGAAAGCTGCATCTCCATACATCCAGTCCACCCATCCATTCATCCATCTATCCACCCATTCTTCCTCATCACGCATGCCAATTTTCCGTAGCACGGTTTCTGATTGCCCGCTAAGTTCGAAGCCCATCCGAGCCCCATCATCGGAGCCTCTGCGATCCGCCAGTTTTAAGGCGATGGCAGAGTCATTAGCATCAAAGGGCAACGCAACGGTGACATGACCAGCGCCCTAGGCAGCTGATACGCACAGTGGGTTAGGAGGGGGGATATATCTGGGAGAGAGATTATATATCAATACCAATTTAAATCAAAAATAGTTCGCATAATACTATATCTAAGATAGCGTAAACATTATTATTTGAAGATATATATTTTAAAATATTATATATGATAAGTAGTTTTTTTTCTAAATTTTAAAATGTAAAAAGCAAGCAACTTTGTGGTTAAATATTATTTCTATTTATTTATTTTTTAATATATATGAAATATATTATTTATTATTTTAAAGTTCAGAGCTTAGAGTATTGTCCCACTGTGCCACTTCAACGACGCGTTCAATGTCGCCTGCTGCAGCCGTCAAAGTCGTGTGCACTATTTGTGTAATTTATATTCAAAGCGCAACGCGATGCGGCGAGTGCGTTGCGTAGGTGGGTGTGGATAGTGTGTGTGCTGGTCAGCTCTCTTCTGGGCGGCATTTCCAGTTCCTTCCCCCCCCTGCCTGGGCCAGTCGCGCGAACTGCTTTTAAGTGACGATGGCGATGATGTTGGTCAGGCGGTGGCAGCACTTTTATGGGGTGAGTGGTCCCTGGGATTTATGGGGTTAAGGGAAGGGAAAAAATACCCCCACAGCCAGCTCTTTAGGTCTATTTAAATATGTAACTGTGGCCAGGGAAGGAAATTAAGCGACTTAATTTTTAAGTAGATTCTAAGAGGAAACTGATCATAGTAAACGGGAATAATATCTTGAAACTAGCTCTAAGAGTTTAAAATATATCATAATCATACTTAAATTAATTATAAAATTTATGAATGAAAAACCTACTATTCTTTTATGATAAGAACATTTATATTTACAATTCTAATAACCCTTTCCCCTTAAGTACCATGACCATAACTGGCAACCGCTATCCGAGCTTCGACTTTTGTCTATCCAACTTCCGCCTGTTTCTTCGCCGACTCCTCCTCGGTTTCTGTTTTCAATAATTCAAGTTCGAGCCCAAACAAAACTCTGGACACGCGCAGGGCCACTTGACCGTTTCGCTGGTCGTAACTGTATGAGAAATGTGCTGGGGAACTGACAAAGTGACCGGAAGATGATACTGTAATAAAAAATAGAGACTCGCACACTATCGTACATACATATATGTTTGCCTAGGAAATAGAAAACCAAGTACTGGAAATGAACATGAACAATGTTTTATATGCTCTGCGAGTTGCTGGGTCTTCGTCCACTATATCTAACTAGGTTTTTTTTTCTGCTATTTCGTTGGCCATTTATTTACAAATGAACAATATTTATGGCCTCTTTTTGAAAGAGAATATATGTATATATTTTGTTTTTTGGTTCCCCTCCTGCGGCGGGGCCAGACTTCCGTCACAGAAACAGCATGGAAACGATCTGTTCATAGCGTTCATTATTTTGTGGTTTTATTTCGGTTTTATGCGCTCGGCATACCAACAATCGATTATGAATTTCAAACTCTGAGCGACGGGCAATCAGAAATGGTTTTGTTGAATAAATAATTCTAATTTGCCAGCAATTATGGGCTGCCACAATGAGCTGAGCCCATGATATGTTTTCGATGGTCGCCGAAAGTGTGAATTGAAGAACAACAGTTACAGAGAGGCGTTTCCATTACACTTAATGGCTGTGCAATTTAGGTTTCCCATCATTTTGGATTTAATTAATTACTGATGGGCAGTTGGGGTTTAAATAACAGAGTATTTATAGAAGATAATACATCATTTAATATTTAGTTTTAAGTACTCTTGATTTATCTCTATTTAATTATTCAACATATATTGCTTGCGATTGGAATCTACATCTCTTTAAGCCAATTGGATTTATGGCAGCATAAGTAGCGAAAATCAGAGCAAACCCCATTATTATTTCCAGCAAGTTGCAATTAGTGTTGTCAGGGCCAGAATTTATGATGAGCAATTGCAGATGCGGCTGGTAAAACAGGAACACTAAACGGCGGCACTTAGGCGATCATAACTTTGCCCGTGATAAATCGAACTGGAATCGCCTGCAGAGATTCTGGCCATGCAAAGCGAATCTGTATATCTGTATATAGACTGGCAAAAAGGAAGGGGACAAGGCAAGTGCCTGGGAGGGAATCTCGAGCAGCTGCTGCTGCCGCTGAAAGGCGAGACCGCCGAATGAATTGGACTGTCGTTGTCTTGGCAATCAGCGCTACCGGGCATAGAAAGTTAACACACCCAAAACCGGCTTCGGTTACAGCCCAAGCAGGCAGCAGTTGAAGTTTCCATTTGAGACACAGGAAGAAAAACTGCACAAAAGGAAGCTTTATTATCTATTTTTAACCAAGCTTTAGGTTCTTTGATTAATTAAGTGGCTGCTCATAAATAATCTTAAAAACACTTATTAATAACAAATAAATTCATACTTTAAAGTATAATTTATATTTAATTTTAACTTCTTAAAAAATATATATTCAATTTTATTTCCCGTGGAGTTGGCATTGGCAAGTTGCCGGCTGCCAGTTGTCGCTGCCGCAAGAAACTTGCCAGGATGGACTGCGGCGGATGTGTGTTCTTAGGGTTTTGAGCCAGGAAAGAGGGAGAACTCCACAAAAGACGGGGGATTCTAAGCGTTTAGGTTGGCTTTTGCATCGCTTCGTTGGCCCCGCAGAGCGAAGTGAGCGCATCCAACTTAAAATTGCCGCAATTGCGTGTCGACCACAATCTTAACCAGCCGAGGCAGCGACACAAGGAGGCGAAAAACTTGATGGCAACGGGGAGTGCACTGCAACAAAATAAATGTAATAATCTGAAAAAAGTAAAATATCATATGTCGAAATATATTTAGAAGCCTTTTCGAGAGTCGTTAATATAAAGGTTACTATAAAATCAACTCAATTAGTATTCATTTTTCAATTATATAAGCTAGAAATTACATAGATTCATTAATAACAAACTTGCTGTTATCCAAGCTAAAATTCCTTAAAAAAGTATTGGTTAAGGACTTCAATTCAATATTTTTCATGACCACATAGATTTCCTCTCAGTGCTTAGCTGAGACTTTAAGTGTAACAGGCACTGGGTGTTGGCCCAAGTTCCGTCTCATTCCCGAGCCCTTGCTCCCCCGACCATTTGCTCCTGCCAGTCTCCCCTGTCTGTTTCCTTTTTGTTTTTAATGAATAAGTTGGAACACCTGCTCGTCGTTCGTCTCCTGTTGAGATCTCCGTCCGTCCCGGAATCGGGCAAACTCTGGTTGAGCTGCTCAAGTGTGACGGCGCTTACGAACTTATATGTGTTCTATCTCGGCATCGTGCTTGGTCATTGTTAATGCCCTATTGTTAGGGGTATATGAGGAATATGCCTTGGTTTGTTTTATATAAAAAATATTAAAAAAAAAGTTTTGATGAGGATTGATTAAAATTAAATTGGTATGGAAACCACCAAATATACTAAAGTTAATTTAAACTAAATTGAATTAAATTAAACTTCACTCACAGCTTTAATTTTCAAAGAAACGTGGAGAACCAACTTCCCTCATCTATACAAATACCCATATAATAATCATAATTTACCCATAAATCCCACCAGATACTTCCATTTCTCGCTTGTACCAGATCACTTCTGGCCCCATAGGAATCACAAGATCATTATACCATTCGATATGTCCACCGGAACTGGCTTGTCTGCATTTGATGCTTTAATTATGAAGTCGCTTGCCGGGAAAAGCAAATAGAGTCAGCTGCAGCTAAGCAGGCAAAGCCAAAGGCTTAAGTCAATAAATAACCTGTTTGAATATCATTACGCATAAATCTGAGCCAACGCATGGCACCTGCAATCTTCATTCATTAAATCGAGCACACCTGAAAACGAGAATCGAGGCATTGGCATTGGAGGAGAGACGGAAGGGAACGCAACCGGAGTCAATGTCCCGTCAAGTTGCAAAATTAAAACCAATTTCCCAGGGACTGCCGTATCACTTGCTCATCAGAAATAAAAACCAGTGAAGAGTGCTCCACACACGACCCGGTCTGAGACGGAGGCGATG